TGTGTGTGTGTGTGTGTGTGTGTGTGAGTGAGTGTGAGCGTGCGTGAGTGAGTGAGTGAGTGTGCGTGCGTGTGTGTGTGTGTGTGTGTGTGTGTGTGTGTGTTTACAGTGTCGGACTGTAGACAAGCAGATTAGAGTATTAACGAAATAGTTCACCCAAAAACAGAAGACACTGTCAATTAATCACCCTCATATCGTTCACAATCTGTAGTCATTATTATTCTCAAACACGATATTGTTTGTACAATGACTGTTCATTATGAGCACAGCATGTCAGTCTTCATAAAGGACCAAAAACACCTGCTGATGTCCAGTGTTAGTACAGACACAAGGCCAAAATGGGCACAGTGTTGATAACTGTCCTGTGTATGGATGAATGAATATGTGGCGTTGCGGTCAGTGCTGTTAAACACATCACACACACAACACAATATTTTACCTGGAAAGCTACAAGACTACGAACAGCAAGAAATTAAATAAGCTTAATTTTGATATCACGTTGGCTTTAAAGTAATCAGTTGAAGTTGGTTTGAATATTACTATGTTTTTTTTTCCACACACGGGGAATAATAATATCTAGTTTTGAAGAAAAGATTATTATGAGCTGTTCTAATCACATTTCTGTCTTGTTTTTCAGTATTTGGGCTGCATTGAAGTCCTCCGGTCCATGAGATCTCTGGACTTCACCACACGATCACAAATCACACGGTACTACAACTCTCTCTGTCTTTCTACAAATGAAAAAGTATAAAACAGTCACAAACGTTTCTTCTTATGTTATGGGTAATATTAGCTGAAATAGCATGCACAGATGCACACTTCCCAGATACAGGTTAATTTGGTAATATTTTAATGTATTATGAATTGCGAATTACAGTTTAGTTTGTATTTGAATTTGGATTCAGACTTATGCTTTCCATCTAATACAAAAAAAAGATGATTTTTAAAGTTTCCACAGTTAGTGAAATAAATGATAATATTTGATCTAAATTTAAAATTATTTATTATTTAATTATATTTATCTAAATTTTAAATTATTTAACCAATTGTGTTTTCTAGCACAAGAAAAGTTGTTGTTTTTTTAATTCAGTTGGCAATATTAAATTTTAAATCAATTAAAATAAATAGTAACAAGTATTATTGCTAAATATATTTTATATATATATATAAAAAACTATAAAATTGAGATAAAATGACTGTTCTTCCAAATCTGACTGCAAATATAGATTAATATTATTAATAATCACAAAAGAAGAAAATATATAATGATCTGCCCTAATTTTCCTAGGTTTAAAAAAAAAAAGTAATTTAACATTTTGTTAATTTATTCCTTTTATAAATAAAATAATTAAAACTAAAAACATTTACAAAAAGGGGATAGATCATTGCATGTAGAAATGTATAATTGTATTTATATATTTTTTACATTTAATTAGTAATACAATTATTTAAAAGACATTGACAAAATGGGGACAGATAATTGTATTTATGTTAATTTATATTTAACTTGTATTTGTTTATTTTTATTTATTTGTTTGCTTGTTTTTTGTGACTATAAAAAAACAACCTAGGACTTGATTCAGGAACTCATTTTTGTGAACTGTCCAAATGAACCGATTCACTGAAATGAATCAGACTTTCCAATATGACAGAGAGGACAATGAGGAGAGCGTGATTCGAATGTTATGTTTTCTCCATTATATATTTCTCTTATGTTTATATATTTATTCATATTTATGTTTTTCTGTTGTTTTGCTGCTAAATCACAGATAATGGCTTTTGTACGCTGCATTTTAGTTTCTTTACGGTTACATCACAGTTAATGGCCTTTCATGGCACTTTTATGTTTTTTTCTTTCTTTGAATCCGCAGCCAAGCACTCATTTATTGTTGCTAAAACGAGTGTGTGAGATGTGAATGTAAGCCATCCGTGTGCTGATGAGTCATTGCGTAACATCAGATGGGATCCCAGCGGACGCGGCTTGTTTATTGAGCGCTGGGCTGTGTGGGCCGCTAGCGTTAGCAGTGCTGGAGATGACGTGTCATATCCTCTTTTCTGCTTGACTTCCTGCTGTAGCGTTCACAGGAACAAACCAGCCGTTCTCCATCACTCCCTGGACACAAACATCGCTCCAAAAACTGTGCTTGACTGTTGAACCATCAGCAGGTTTATCTATATTACACCTCAGATATAGTTTTTATTTATTTATTGTGCCTTTTGTAAAACATTAAAAGTCAATTAAAAGCAAAGTGAATCTCAGAGAATCTGTCAAAAATGTCCTAAAAAAAAAAAAATTATATTTTATCCTGCTTTTAGGGCCATTAATATTTATTGCATTGTAAAATTATTTTTTTATGATAATTAAGCCCAGTTTTTCATTACTGTTATTTTTATAATATATTAATTTTATAATATATTCAATATTATTACTGTTATATAAAAACTATTAGTATTTATACAATATGGTTGCATTCCATTTAATTTATGCTTACTTAAATAAATGCACTACAATAATGAGCATCTAATGAAAATCACCATTAATGAGAATTATTTAAAAAATGAACATGTCAAAATGCATTACAGTAATAAGAAAATGGGGAAGATATGCTTAATTACTATGAAAATAAAGTCACAGTTCAAAATAATATTTTTGGTGTTAAAATAAAAAATTTAAATAGGCTTAATTTTCTTTCCACAAAAAAAAAATCAACCCTGTTCTCTAGATATCGTCTCGGTTACGTATGTAACCCTCGTTCCCTGAAGGAGGGAAAGTATTAGCTATTGAAACTTAAAAATATGAATGAATATTAAAAGTCACAAAATTGATAAAGTCAGAAAAAATTTATATGAAAAATATAATGGTCTGCGCTCATTTCCCTCAAATATATATATTTTATTTTACAATTTATTTGATAGTTTATATTTAAAATGTTTATAATTTGTTTGTTTATATTATTATTATTATTAATATGAACATTTGGCAAACCTATTCTCTAGTTATCATCATTAACATTAGCTATTGAAACTAAAAAATATAAATGAATATTAATAATCACACAATTAATGAATTCCTTAGAAAACAATATAATAAAATATAATGAGCTGCACTCATTTTCCTTAATTCTTTTACATATTTTATTTTGCACTTTATTTAATATTTAATATTTTTATATTTTGTGTATGTTTATAGTATTAGTATATTTATGTTATTGTTCTTATTTATATTTGTTAATGTCAACCTTTGGCAACTCTGTTCTCTAGATATCATCATGAGCAATGAAAAATGATAGATTCATATCTTTGGGCCAGATTCACAGATTCAAATGCATTTGCTTTGTTTCCAGAATGCCGCTGCAGTCCCACTGTTTTCACACAGCATCTTGACAGTTTGCTCTCTCTGTACTTCAGAATTACTCATGTCTTCATATTTTTGTAATTCCTCTCGGCAGGGAGGCGATCAGTCTGGTGTGTGAAGCCGTCCCTGGTGCCAAAGGAGCTCTGCGCAAGAGAAAGGTACAGCCTGAGAATGTGTGCAGTTATCCTAAAGCAAATAATAAATACATCTGAACAGAGACTTGTTATATTGTAATGCATTCAGATTTAAAAGTCCTAAAGGTACAATAGAAAGCCTTCTAAAGTCAGACTGGCTACTTGAAAACTCAAAAATGCACAAGTCTGATTTTATGAGATGATTGTGTGCTTTTTTGTTACATTTATTAAGTATTTTGGCAGATTTGATCATGCTTTCAGCCAGGGTTATTGTTGTTAACTAAAACTAACTCAAACATTTTTGTTCCTTGAGATAAAATAAACATTAAGTGATTTAATAAAAAAGTATATACTTACAGTTGCTGAATAAAAGAGTTAATAAGAACATATTTAATCTTTATTTGTGAAAAATGATTTTGGATGAGTAAGATTTCATTGTTGATGAAGCCACTATTCAATTCAGGACAAAAATGTGTAAAATAAATTAAAATAATAATGCATAAGAAATCAACACCAATATAAAATGATTAAAAAAAAGGATATATATATATATATATATATATATATATATATATATATATATATATAGAGACAAATAATATAAAATAATTATTCAAAACAAAATGAATCTTTATTTGAGGAACATGGTTTTGGACCATTGAGATTTCACTGTGGACAAAGCTATTCAGTGCAGGACAAAAATGAGTGAAATAAATGACAATAACAGTACTACAAATGAAATATAAATATAATAAGACTTAATAAAATATGAAATAAAATACTAAAATATAAAATTAAATTATTCAGACTTTAATCTTCATTGAAAATTCTTTAAGTGATTTAAAATACAATTATATACTTATTTTATTTCAGCTAGTTGCCAAAGCAACATTTCTCATTTTTTGTTTAGTTTAACTCTTAAGTACTAAAATAACTCAAACTAAAACTGAAATAAAAATGAAATAAAAACTATATACACATATTTAAAAAAAACACACTAATAAAATAAAATTAATAAAATGCAGCAAAATTACTAAAACTTTAAACGAAAATTATGAAAATAACTGAAGATATAAAAATAAAAACCAATAAAAAATATTAATAAAAACTATAATGGTATATCAATATACTAAAATAACATTGCTCTGATCTCATGCATTTTACCATTTATAAATCCATTCCACATAATTCTGCATATTTTCCCCAGCGAATCAGCACAGAAAATGTGAACAAGTCTGCAGATTTGTCTAAATCTCAGTAGTTATTTTTCATGAAAACTGTGAAGCAAATTGAATTACATTAAATTTTATTTAAAAAAAACACCAGAGACAAGCAGCGAACGAGAGTTATAGATTATTGCACATGACAACAGGAAGTGTTCAGAGGTGGAGGTTATTGATGCAGATGGAGAAATATGAGATGGAAAAGGAGAAGTAAATAAGGAAAAGACTAAAAGAGAAGCATGGGAAGGTTTGGAGTGAGATAAAGACGGTTAGAGATCAAATAAAGGCTGGAGAAAAGAGAAATGGCGTGTGTGTGTGTGTGTGAGTGAGTGCGTGAGTGTGTGTGTGTGTGTGTGTGTGTGGGCATACTGTTAGCATGGTGACTCATTCTGTACTGAGCAGCAGTAATCAGCCCTCCTGCCTCCTGCTGCGCGCACATGTGTGTGTGTGTGCGTGAGTGAATGTGTGAGTGTGTGTGTGTCTGTGTCTGTGTCTGTGTCTGTGTGTGTGTGTGGGTGTGTGTGTGTGTGTGTGTGTGTGTGTGATGCATGTTTGCAGTGATGGAAAGGCACGTGTCTGCTTTCAAATGAACTGATGTGCGTGTGGGAATTTTAGGGAAGCTTTAAAGCGTGCCGTGCAGTATGTCCCGATTTAATAACGCGACATTGGATCGATTTAGCACACAAACACAGAAGGATGCATTGCATGCTTGGTTTTTATTTTTTTAATGTTCTTCCATTTTGTAATATGAATGAAGACTGACTGGAGTGATTTGAATTGAATTTCAGTTTAATTTTAGTATGCTTGGCAAAACACTGCATTTTAATTGACAAAACGTTTGCAGCTAAATAAATTTGTAAAATAAATTAAAATAGTTATACAAAAAATAATACATTAAAATAATACTACAAATGAAATACCAGTATAATGAGAATAAGTAAAATATTAAAAATGAAATAAAATAAAATAATTATTTAGAACATGATTTCGGACCATTAAGATTTCACTGTGGATGAAGCTACTATTCAATACAGGACAAAAGTTAGTAAAATAAATTAAAATAACAATACTACAAATGAAATATCAATATAATAGAATTAATAAAATATAAAATAAAATATAAAAAATTATTATTCAGAAAATATTTGATCTTTATTTGTGGAATATGATATTTATGATAGACAAAAATTTGTAAAATAAATAATAAATAAATTTACAATACGGCAAATTAAGCATCAATATAACAAGAATTAATAAATATAATATAATAATTATACAATACAATATATTTTTAAAAATCATATTGCCAAATTATTCAGAACACATTTGTGGAACATGATCTTCTTGGATCAGTGAGATTTAACAAAGCTTAATGCAGGACATAAAATTAGTCAAATTAATTCAAATAACAGTACTTCAACTGAACATAATAATATAATAAGAATTAGTGAAATATAAAAAATGATCAAATAAAATAAATAATTTAGAACATATTTAATCTTAATTTGTGGAACGTGATTTTGGATCAGTGAGATTTGGCTGTGGATGAAGCTACTATTCAATGCAGGACAAATAGTTATCAAGCAGTCTAAGAAATAAGCAATCATCAAATATGGCAAACTTTATTACATTTAAGAAGTTAAGAAGAAATTAAGAAGGTCTGAAGATGAAAACATGAGACTGTGATGCTCTCTTTCAGCCTCCCTCGAAACTCCTCTCCAGTATTTTGGGCAAGAGTAACCTGCAGTTTGCTGGGATGAGTATCAATCTCAACATCTCCACCAGCAGTTTGAACCTGATGACACCGGACTCCAAACAGGTCCAGAAACACACACACTTATCTCCTCTCTTCCTCTCTCTCTCTCTCTCTCTCTCTCTCTCTCTCTCTCTCTCT